GAATACGTCTTCTTCTGAGGGTGTAAAACCTTGTTGGCATTCTTAGGATAATTTATTATTGCCTTTGAACGATCCAAGGTTATGTCGGGAGTCGCACGTTTAAAACCACCCCCTTGCGGGTATGGAGTCTTAACGGGCTCCGAATGCTGATTTTGCATAACTCCAGACTTTGGAATCCAAACTTGGCAGAGTTTTGGTGGTTCTTTGGCCACCGTTTCCTTCTTCCATTTTTGTCTTTGTTGTGAGAGAGCACGGGCATGAACAGCGTTTGCTCGACGTTTTTGTATACGTTCTTTGAGGGTCGAACGAGTCCTTTTGACAATAGTCCATTCCTCCGTCGTGAATTGTGCAGAAACGTGAGTAGTTTGTCGTTGCGTTGAACAAACCACTTGTTGTTTCCTCGACTCTAAGTCCGCATAATAACGAACTCCGTCGGTTTGTTCAAATGCCTTAGCTAATTGACGAGCGCGGCGTTGGCGTCGCCTCTGACGAGCCCTCTTCGTCAGTGGTGAACTTCGATCGAACGACTCCTTAATTGGGGAGGAATCATCTTAAGCAGAGCTGTTGCGAGTAAAATCCTCAGCAACAATCGGACGAGAGTCTTCATCCGTAGCATTTGATAACTTCAACGAAGATGAAATCTTCCTGCACTTGCGAGGCGCGGAAGACTTTACAGATGAGGATGACAAATACTCCTCAAACTTCGCTTGGTCGAACTCGTACTCGACCGTTGATTCAACCAGGATCTTGATGATTGGCTGCGACACGACGGTCTCGGCAGCGAGACCGTTGACTCCCACTGTGGTCGCCAGCTTGTTTTCGTCAAAAGTTGGTTCTGCTGTGGAATTCATTATATCTTCGGTCGATTACAATAAATTCAAAAAAGAGATAGCCTTTTTATAAAACTTCTTTTACACAACAAAATGAAAATTACAACTCTTGGGAAACAAACGCAGGATCGTTGTTTGGATCACTGCTTGCGTGGGATCTTTGCCTGTGCCGGGAGCGCGTTAGCCCGTGGACCACCAAATCACAGATTTTGATCGAATTCGTTTGAGGGGTTTATGATTCTGACTTCGCGTTTATCGAAGTGAGAACTTGAAAGATATTCTTATCACTGGTTAGGATATTCGTTCTTCTGAAATCAAGTCAAAGCTCGATATCAAGGAGATGGCCGTAAGCTCAGAACTCTGCTCGCTGTGCTTCTGAAGTGCTCCAACATCATCCGCCTTGTCAGAAATGACCCTTAGGGCGGTATTTATAGCCTCTGCGGGTTCATAACTAACAAAACTCCAACAAAAGACAGAATTAACATTGCGACGACAGTGATTTACCTGTCTCGCTGCCGAGACAGTGTATTTGCTGTCTCGCCAGCGACACAGCTAAATTTTAGCTGTCTCGCCCAGTGAGACATAAAATTGCGGCTGTGTCTCGCCAGCGAGACAAGTAAATACTGTCATTTAACCTGTCTCGCATGCGATATTCCTGACAGTTTCTCGTTGCAACTGTCTTCCCACGTTTGAACTCCGTTATTCTGGTGGTTATCAACGTGATTCTCGCCCACGACATTCCCCACGTTCTTGAACAGTTGGTGGCCACGTGTCGGCGGTTTATGAAACGGTTTCTGAATGTTTGAAAACTGTCTTGTGTGCGAGACAGTCAACTCTGTCTCGCACGGCGAGACAGCAAAGTCTGTCTCGCGGGCGAGACAGTCTATACTTGTGTCCTTTTGTTGATCTTTTGGATGATCTTCTCTTCATCTGTATTTGGATATCTTTCAGCATTTTTTGACGCCTACACATCCCTCCTCTTTGTGATCATGAATCCCAGTGCACGCAGCAGCTGCTGCTTCTTCTTCGTCTGAACTTGTGCGATTCTGCGAGCCTTCTGGGTATCAGCAGAAGGAATCCTAGGGTTCCCGTTAATATCATGAGCAGATAATGTTGGTCTTGCTAGACCTCGCTAAACACTCTCGTAGGCAGTCGGTGACGAAGGTACAAGCAGTCGATGATGAACGAAATACAAATGACTAGTGAAGGAGAAGACAAGAGGGATGTTAGCACACAGTCATGTTTAAGTTTCTGGAAAGTCTGCCAACAAATTAAGGAATCTCATATCCAAACGGCGAATTATGTTTCGCAAGTGCATGTAAAACCCACCACCAAGAACGAAATTGCACCTCATGAACGGGTAACATGCATGCGTCTTCGAACAAGCCTACATAAGCAATCAATCAAAACGTATAATTGAGAAGGTTAACAAGTACAAACACTGTTTTTCTAAAGAAACATTCAATTACATAATTGAGAAAGGTAACAGGTAGAAACATAACTTTTCTAAAGAAACATTCGATTGAGAATCTTAAATAATAATCCAAAAATGAACCGAAATCGAAGAATGCATCTACGAGAACAGCGATAAGATAAGAAGATTGAACCTAACCCAAATTTTGCTTGTATTCTGTTTGGATAATAAAATAAGGCTAGAATTAGCTCCATTTGTAAGCCAAAAATCTGACCCCCTTGGAATAACTCTAGCCCAGTTTAGAATAAAGCCGAGCCAATATCGATAACTGCAAATTTGAAGCGAAAAAACAAAATAAACAAACTTGCAAATTTGAAGCAAAATAAATGAACTCGCAAAAATCTCTCAGAAATAGTATAAACGGTAAACTTCAGAAAGCCTGCTGAGCTCCAGTGAGTTTTGCACAAAACCAACCCTCAAACTATGTTGGGTTTCACAAAATCAGCTCAACTTTCTAAAGGTTTCACTGAATGATGTTCCAGGTTTAAAATGTTTATTTGCACTTTAATACCCTAAATTTTTACTCTTAACTTTGATATCCCTAGAGTTCTGTTTGAAGATCGATAATCCGAAATACAAAAAATTAAAATTAAATATTTTTGCAAGTTGATCAATATTGAAATGTGATTGAGAAAATAATTGTTATCAAATTTTAGTTTTATGAGATTGGGTATCAATTTGTCAAATTTATATCAATTTGAAAGCTTTAGGGTACAACACTGTCAAACTACAAATTTGAGGTATCGAAGTTAATATAAAGTGAAACTTTGGGTATCAAAATCCCAATAGAATAACGCTCCTCTCTCAATGAAACCATAAAGCAAAATCCTCCCCTCTTTTCTCCATTTGACTCTATCCTCTCTTCTCTGACAAACGCTAGAATGGAATTTATGTTGGAAATGTTGTTCATGGAAAAGACAATTTTGCCTTTGTGAATAGTCCCACATTGGAAGATGATATGAAGTTCAAGTGGTTTATATTGGTTCACCCCTTATTGGGTTTTGAATAGTGTTTTGGGTTTTGTGGGCTTTGGATAACACACACGCGCGCGCGCCTCGACGTGCGCGTGCCACACGCACACAATTTTTTGGATCGCAAATCTTTAATTTTACCGTTTTATCTTTTGACTCGGTCCTGGATACGTGCATAACGTCTGCGGAGATAATGCGGAGAGTTATGCGAGTTTGTGGAGAATATGTGGGATGTGCAACAGATCTGAAGGCTTTCCACTCCTATAAATAGAGCCTTTCTCTAGTTCGGAAGACACAAAAACTCTTCTATCCTCTCTTCCTCAGTTAATATTTTTGTAAAAGTTTTAGTTTTCTCTTTGAGCAACGTTCTTCATCTGAGTTTAAGCTCTGCTACTCTCGCCTGAGTACGGAGGTCAGCCGAACCGGGGGTTTTACCGCTAGGGGAGAGAGAGTCAACCGCGCCAGGGTGATAGGCAGGTCCTCAATCTTCTAGGGCAATGAAATCAAGACCGCTTCCGATCATGTCTGAATTTCTAACTCTTTTATTTCGGATTATATACTAATATTCTTAATTTTTGACAGCAATTTATCCACGTGGAAGCTCCGCAAAAGTCAACTCCCCACTGTTAGGGGTGCTTTCTTTAATTTTTAAGTTCATGGTGGTCTAGTGCAAACTCCACAATTTCCAAGGGAGTTTGTGAAATTTAACCTAATCCGTAAAGCTAAGGAGACTTCAAGGCTAATCCAACGGGACCGCTCTCCTCCGGCGACTTCTCCGGCAAAGCGGCGGCGGAGTTACCGGAATGATTCAACTAAAAACGACGCAAATAGCCAATTGAAACCCTAAATTCAAGGAAATTTACCAAAATTGGAAACGATTGGACCTTGGGGACCTTGGGCTGGGAGAGGTCAGCTCCGATTTGTTCCGGCCATGGCTGCGGCTTTCTCGAGCTTTCTCTCTCCTCCGCTGCTGTCTTTCTTTTGGTTTAGAGAGAGAGAGAGAGAGAGAAGTAGAGGGAGCGGAGAGACAGAGAGAGGGAAACGAGGGGATTTAAATAGGAAGAAAGTTTGACCAAATAATTGTACATTTTTTAAATTGATACCCCCAAACTTTTACCCTTCACTTTGGTACCTGACATACTCTTTTTAACACTTTGCTACCGCAAAATTTCAATCTCATTTCTCTATGATACCCTTAGTCTATTTTCTGTTAGATTTTGTATCCGCACTTAGCAATTGGTAGAAGGGAAATAAGTATATCACGTGGCAATGACGTGATACAAACTCAACAAAAGTGTAGCAAATCTGGACAGAGGTATCAAAGTGAGATGTGGTTAAAACTATCGGTTGGGTATCAAAATGAAAGTGTTATACTTTGGTTATCAAAGTGATAAAAGGAGGTAAACTTTAGGGTATCAAAGACAAAATAAGCCTTAAAAAAGAGAGGAGAGTGGTACTTTCCTAGATTTTAAGGATTTTTAAGAAGAGAAAAATGTTAAAATCATCCATTCTTACATCTAAGTTCAATTCAAGCAGTTCATTTAGATAAACGAAATTAATAATACTAAAATGAACTCTTGAAAAAGATAGAAATTTTAGTTTCATTTAACCAAAAAAAAAAAAAAAACGAAAGTTATCATGTAGCGTATTTTTCTCACTCTAGTCTACATTTTTCACAAATTTGTTTGACGCAGTTACACAAATGACACGAGACACGCTTAAAAGAATATAAAAGTTTCATGAAAAGACTTCGAAAATTAACAGCAAACAGTAGCAGTCACATAGCAACAAAAAGAAAAAGAACAAGAAAAAATAAAAAATAAAAAATTGTTTAATATATGCCTGTATAATTTTCAAGATTTCACTGATTGAAACATGAATAGAGTTCACAGATTCTAAATCAGCTGCAGAACAAGGAAACAATCAGTGGCGTTACAAAAAAGTCGTGGGATTTGAGGATGATTGATTTGCTCAGTTCATATCTGTTGAAGCTTTTCTGAGCTTTAGAGCTCCCGCACGTATGAATTATGTACCAGTTCTTCAGACTGGCTACATGACGTTGTTTCCATTATCAGTTTTGGCTGAAGCCAAGCCATTTTGCAATTTGATATCGAACCTCGATCGATGGCAAGCAGAAAACTCAAAACTGTTTTCGCTGTTAAACCTGAACAAGGAAGAGGGATTGATATTAGATATGATCATCATAAAACATAAATAAATGTGCAAAGGCATAACTCAAATGCAGATTATAATGCAACGGTACGCAGGTACTTTACTACCGTACAATATTGGAGATGAACCCAACTACACAGGTGATCTATCATATGCTAAATCATACAACAAATAATAATTTTGAATTTGATCCCATAGACTGCTAAATCATACAACAAATAATAAATTTGAATTTGATCCCATGGACTGCTAGGTACAATCATACAACAGTTCGGTTAAACATAAGCAGTTTCGGCCTTAAAACTGCTACAAGGCTAGCATCATTACTAAAATTGCAAAATATTTTTAGCAATTAATAAAGTAATAGGCATTTGAAGTCGAATTTCACAACACTAAGAAATAGAAATGCTTATATGAAAATGACAAAATAAATAATAAAACTTGCCATATATTATCTTGTCAACATTCTTCACTTGCATCTTGTCACAACAAAGACCGCAAGGTAGCCTCAACTTCGGCAAGAGGTTTCCCTGCATATAGTTGAAGCTGACCCTTCTTTACAACAATTACCTTTAGCTCCCTTGACCTTACTCCCTCTTCAAGCTCCTGACAGACATAAAAATACCGAGTATCATTATGATAATTAAAAATAAATTAACACACTAAAAATTATGGGACATACTAACTGAATTCTACCCAAAACACATATTGCTGAAAAAGAAAATGAAAGCAATAACTCATGCCATGTTGCATAAGCAGTAGATACAGAATGTTCTGACTTATATTCATCCTGCTATAACTCTATAGAAATTGGCAGAGAGAGAATTCAGGAAAAAACTTCTACATAAGTAAAAGAAGAAGATAATCACTCGTATTCTACTTCATACTAAGACAATCATGGGAAATGCAATAAAATAAAGATATTGCAAGATAAGCAACAACTGTCGTTTGTATTTAATATACAATTAAAAAAGCAAATGAGTAAACATTCGATGAACAGTTTATTAAATTCTTTTGGTTTCCAGAAATTATAAATAAACAGATGGATCAAATAATCCAGAGACACTTCAGCATAACCAATAAATCAAGGGGTTTTGGAAATCTGAAAATACAGGTAGTACATATACTTCAAATAAATAAGAAAAATCTAATCTTAAATGATCCAGGTCACTGGACACTAGTCTGGAGAAAGAAGGATGTACAAGAAAAGTACAAAGAAGAAACTATAAAGGGACTTGTCAACACAAAACAAACATTATTCTACTGTGTACCAAGAGTAGCACTTACACCAATTGTCAGCGGAACAACATCGGCGCAAAAATCATCCAATTCCCCAAAAAAAGATTCTAACAGGTAGCAGAAATTTGTAGCATCACCTTGATTTTGGAAAACAACAGTATAAGATGTAGAACCTTCATCATCTGAAGGAGAATCCATCTGTAAGGAGTATAATCCTTTTGGGCAACTACGGTCAGAACCTCTTCTCATTAAAATTGCCTGAAATCCAATATTAGTAAACAACAGATATCCAGTACATTAAATTTAAGATGAAAGATGTTATCAAGTTCAATCTTGTCATTAAGAGAGAAAAAAATGATCCAGGGTTCTCACAAATTAAGCAAACTTACAAGAACAAATGGGAGTTGCAGCCACCATGGTTTTTTCATCTGATGAGAGATGCCATCTTTATATTTGCTGACAGAAGACTTGCCAACTTTTTTTGTTTGTGGATGAAACTCAGGGCTAACATTTACATTACTAGATTTTGTGGAAGAGGGATGCTTTCCTTCCTTGGATCTTTGCTTGATTCGAACCTTTCTTTGTTTCTTTCTGTGATTTAACTGAGACATTCCATGACCACTTTTTGATCTTTCAACTGTTTCTTGAGAACTCTGCAGGTTACCAACAGATGACAATTTTTCATAGGGAAAAGCCATAGACTCATCAGCATCTGAAGATTCTTCGGTCAGGTCAGAGAGGACTAAAGTTGAGCGTTGTGGTTCCTGCAAATCTGGGGACTCCCTCAGAGGATTCTGATGTAAAATCTGTTGAACACCACCTAACATGGATAAATAAATATCTGATGACTATTACAAATACCTTAGCTATCAGTCTGTACAGCGATTCATCAATAAGGGAAAGTATAAAGAAGAAGAAGAAAGTTATTGTACTATGTATCTGAGATCAGAATTACATATTTGAGTATCATTGTTAATGAACAATTTTTTAGTGATTCCCACAGAAAGGAACGAGCAATTGTCTCCAAACAAGGAAAAAGGAGTCATTTATGGGATGTCCAAAGAGCTAATGTCAACACTCATCACAATGGGGTCATCGCATGTCAACAATAACAAAGAGTAAATGAGAAGAGGTATAAAAACATTTGGCTCGTTTATAGACAGCAATATTTCTTTTCCCTTGTTTGAAACTTAAGAAAGAAAGAGCTGAGAATTGTAACTGAAATAGACAAGTTACAACTGATCTACGCATTTAGGTGTCCTTTACACACTGTCAAGTCGGAGATGGCATAAAAAAGGAACTCAATTCATTTACGCATTGTGATGCCAAGTTTGTGTTGGTTGATCTATTCTTAAGGGCTTGTTTGGATTGGGGGTAAAGAGGGGTAAGGAAAGTTAGGAGACTCATTATCCTTGTTTGGAAATTAACTTCTACTAGGTAATGAAGGAGAAGGGGAGGTAAAGGCGGGGAGAAAAACCATGTTTCTCTTGCTCCCCAGTTTCAGCCTTTCAGGTGTAACAAGGGTGAAGGGAAGTTGAGGGAACTTCTAATAAAAAAAATTATAAAGAGACTATTTTAACCTTTATTTAACTTCTAACAATAAAATGACTTAGTAACATGTAAGGTTATTTATGTACGTTTGTATGTATTCCCTTCCCTTCTCCTCATTTTATTAAACTTCCCAAATGGGTTAAATAAGTTCCCATTGACTCCCCTTACTAGTTTTCCAAATAAGTTTTACATGTTCCCTTACATTCTCTTAACTTAACTTCTCATATGTTCTCTTAACTTCCCTTCACTAGGTCCAAATCCAAACAAGCTGTAAATGTCTATTCTGACTGGAGCTTAAACAAAAATTTTGTAACTGCTTGCATTTCCATCTTTGGTTTAACTTGAACCTTACACACATGCCATATCTTAACCAATATCTCTAATAGATCGTATATTACTATCCATAACTCCATTTCATCAAATAGAAACATGTCCATGTTGTATTTGCACATATATGCATCCTTTTGCACCCTAGATCTTTGTTGAATTAAATACGACCAAGATGTAAACATGGTTTTCCTAGAGGAAAACATATACATCTGGTATCAAGCAATATTTCTACAGTACATGCTGTAGACCAAGAAGCAACCAACATTTCAACAAAATCGCATGCTTTCGTAAAAGGAACATACAAAATAAACTCCTGCTCACCATTATCACCGTCGCTGCTACCCTCCATTTTCTTCGCCCCATTAAACCCCTTACCCACATTCTTCCTCCTGACCACGTTCGACTTCACGAACCCCAACCTCCTCCTCCTTGAACCCAAGACCTTATTCAATTCCTCCTTCTCACTGGAAACCCCTCCCAAAATCCTCTCCTCTTCAGCCTCTTCTCCCTCCCTCTCCTTCGCCTCCCTCTCCCTCGCCTCCCTCGCCATCTCCCTAATCTCCATCACCATCCCATCAAAATCGGAAGCTTTATTCATTTCCTCGCCCCGTTCCGCATCCTTCTCGACAACCCTAACCCTAGCTCCAAGATCCGAACTTTCTTCCTCCGGTTCAATACAGAACCCCCCGCTGCGGCCGAAGAACCACACGGCGACAGCGGTCTGGACGGCGAGGAGAGCGGCAAAGCGGAATGCGAGGTCGAGGATGGACGAGCTAGGGCTAGGGGCTGGGAGTGGGCCTAGGGCTTGGGTTTGGGACTGAAAGGCGAGTTCTTCGACTGATTCGAGCGCTTCCTGCTCTTGAACGGGGAGGGGAATTTTAGGGTTTTCGAAGGGAGCGGGTGGTTTTGGCGGGAGTTTAGGGCGGAGGTGGTTCTTGCGGGGAGTTCGTCGGGGTTTCGGGGAGGAAATTAGGGTTTTGTTAGGGTTCTGGGGATTCCGAGGATGAGAGAGGAGGAAGGCGGAGGGTGAGAGCGAGGAGGCGATCATGGCCTCCGTTTACTCGGGCCTCGGATTTGGGTTTTTAATTTGGATATTTATAGTTAAGGGCCTTAAGGCGGCCTGGGATGGGCTACTTTCATGTGGGCTGGGCTGCTAATCTACACCAATGTAACCACACAAATTGTTTTTTTTTTTTTTTTTTTTTTTTTTTGGTTCGTTCCTTAACATCATCCATATTTGAAACTTAGTCCATAAAATCTCCATGTTTGCTTATTAGTCACTCAAATCTAAATGTCTCATGCAATTCGGCTACTGGTTTAGTAAAATAAGTTTTGAAGGGAATGTTTTGTTATCTTTAACAGAATAATAGGGTATATTTGTTATTATAAAACAAAAGAGGGTTTATTCATCATATCCTCATTTAAGATCCACCAATTCATTTCTTAGCAGATCTAAACTTACGAAGCACTTATCCTAAAATTAAAACGAACCAAAAAATTTCTTCTTCCTCAACAGTTAAGGGCATCCCCAAGGACCCCAACCCAATTTTAGAGCTCTTTCCATGGTAATACTCCCTCTAAACTCTAATATAATTCTCTAAAATTTCAACACTATTCATTTTTTATCTTTAATATATAAATAATTAAGTTGATAATGGTTTTATTAAATTAAAAAAATTTCAGTTAATGGCCCGTTTAGATAATGGAAGCATTAGAAGTAAGAAATAGATTATAGAAGTAACTTTCAAAGCTATGAAGTAGGAAGTAGTGGAAATAGCATTTTTTTTTGTTTCATATATTTTTTGAAGTAATAGAAGTAGAACTTATTCCTCTTCATTTGCTTTTTTTGTTTGGATAACATTTGAAAATATTACTAGGAAGTAATTTTATCATTGAAAAGTTGTTAGAAGTAACTAATAAAGGAAATATTAATAAAAAAAATATTTATGTCCTAATTAATATGCATTTCAACTACTTCCGAGCTACTTCTGAGTATTGAGGATTGGAAAAATATTTTGGAAGTAATGATGACACGTAGGCGCCACATAAGTATTTAGAAAAGTATTGGAAGTAAGTTTTTCAGAGAACCAAACACATTTTTTTGCTTAGAAGTAGCAGAAGTAGCTTTTACTTCTTTTACTTCAGCTACTTCACAATTACTTCCGTGCAAACAAACAGGCCCTAAGTGTATACTATATTTAGCTCTATTTTTTTCGATTGCTATGGTTGTGATCCAAACAACCAAATATTCATAGTGCAGTCCAAACGGGCTACCCCGGCCCGGATTTCCAAGTCCGAGCCGGGCTCTGGGCCGACCCAAATTTTTTGTATTTTTTTTATTTTTTTACTAAAATTTGATTAAAAAATTAGATTAATATTAATATATTTATATAAGTGTGTATTATTATATACTTATATATTAGTATATAACGATATATTATATATAATTATATATAAATATACATTAATGATCAAATCATATCATAATTATATATAGTATAAGTTAGTAATATATATAAGTATACACAAGTATATATCAATGACAATGTACACTTAAAAAATATATAATTATATATTAATGACAATATCATACTATAATTATATATAAAAATAAAAAAATAAAATATATAATATGTAGATAATTAAAAATAGGGCCGATCCGGGCTCAGGTCAGGCTTCCCCATCTCAGCCCGAACGCGGACCTAGAACCTAACCAGCCTGGATTTTTAGAGCTTTACAAAAGCCCGAGCAAGGTTAGAGGTTCGGCTGAGTCTGAGCCCAATGTCCATTTGGACACCTTTTAACTATTCCCACTAGCAATGAATGGAGACATGAAAGGAAAATAAAATAAGATCGAAACCACATGATATCAAAGCTTTAAAAAATACTTTAGTGCATGGAATTAATAATAAAATATTTGACCTTTAGAGGCTGTTTGGTGCGTTTCGTAGATATAGAGAAATGCATTTTCATGTACAACACAAGTTTTGAGTTTTCCAAACTTTTCCAAGAAATAGATTGTTTTGCTTTGGTTCGCACAAAAAAATGGTAGGAAACCAATGTATTTATTTTTCTTATGTTTGGTTCGCATGGGAAAAAAAAAACATTTGTTTATATGGCAAAAAGCCGACGTGGCTGCAGTTTTCGTCGATTTCACAAGGTTGATGAAGGAATTGGGGGAGAGAAAAAAATCTGATGTGACGGCGATTTTCATCGAGTTTTCCTTCTTCAACCCTAGCGAACCAAAGATGGAAAAAAAAACCAACGAAAAGTTTATATCCTACGTGGCTACGAAAAATCTGACGTGAAGACGGTGTAAAACTTTTCCACTAAGTTAAAAAACGAACCAAACAACCACTTAGGATACCACAAATTGAAAATGAGCCAAGAAATTATTCCAAAAAAAAAAAACAAAAGCAAATAAAACAAAGCAAAACAGATAAACCAATCCCCTCCCGTTTTTTGAACCCATCCGCTCCATGAACTCCCTTTTCATTCCCGCTCCCCTCTCATCAGACGACGACGATAACGGGTCCGGATCCGAACCCGAACCCGCTTCCGAAGTCGCCGCGCGAGCGCCGAGCCCATCCCCGTCGTTGTCGTCGGAGGTCTTCGACGACGTCGACGGCGATGGGTTTCGCGTTAGGGTTCCCGGCGTCGACGAAGGAACCGGTTCGAACCCTAACCCTAGCTTGGATAGAGGCGGGAGCTCTGAAGAAGAGGTCTTTGATGAGGTCGATGGCGATGGGTTCTCTATCGCCGCTAGGGTTTTGAGTGTGGATGGTGTTGGATCTGAAGCGGGCACTGGAAAAGATGGCAACTTTGGAACTGGGTTGAGAGAATTGGGCTCTGCGGATGAAGAATTAGAGGGTTTCGAGGCAGAGACAGAGAGAGATGGGGTCGACGAGGATTTCAATGCTACTGGTTCTGTGGAAGGCAGGGTGTTTGGTGAAGCGCAAAGCCCTAATGCAGAGGAGAAATACATGGAAGATGAGATTTTCGGCGAAAGCTTGAACTTGATTGACGGGGAAGGTGAATTTGAATTCGTTGATTCAGCGGATGGAATTGATAAGGAGAATGAGAGTATCGATGCTCTATATCAAAAAGATGAGAACTCGGGAGGTGATTTAAGAGAATCGAGCTCTGCTGTCGAAGAATTAGAGGATACGGAACCTCAAATCTCTAAAGCAGAGGAGAAGCAAGTGAAGGATGAGGCATCGAGCAAAAGCTTGAACTTGGCAGAAAGTTTTGCCAAGGATGGGAAAGATGAATTTATATTCGGTGATTATGTTGATGGAATTGACAAGAAGGATGCAAGAATCGATGTTCTAAATGAAAAAGATGAGAATTTGGGAAGTGAGTTGAGTGATTTGAGCTCTACGGTTGAACAATTAGAGGATTTGAAACCTCAAAGCTCTAATGCAGAGGAGAAACATGTAGAAGATGAGGATTTGAGGGAAAGCTTGATATCAACAGGAGGTTTGAGTAAAGATGGGGAAGGTGAGTTTGAAATTGGTAACTCTGTGGATGGAAATGATAATGAGAATGAAAATGTCGATGTCCTAGATGAAAATCATGAGAATTTGGGAAGTGAAAGCGGTGAAGATAATAAAGATAGTGCACGGGTAAAAGAAAAATATGAGAATTTGGGAGGTGGATTGAGAGAATCGAGTTCTGTTGTTGAAGAATTAGAAGTTTTGAAACCAGCGAATGTGGTATCTGTTGTTGGTGAAGCTCGAAGTCCTAGTGCAGAGGAGAATCATGTGAAAGATGAGGTTTTGGGCGAAAGCTTGAATTCCACAGAAGGTTTTAGTAAAGATAGGGAAGATGGATTTAAACTCCGGCATTCTATGGAGAGAACTGATGAGGAGAATGAAAAATTCGACATGTTAGACAAAAAATATGAGATTTTGTTACATCACCATCCAAATATAAACAGCACTGACACACGAGAAGTTGCTTTGGAGCCCACGGAAGAGAAGTACACGATGACTGTGGAAGATTATGAGCCCAAAGAATTGGAATTTACCAACACCGTTGATTCTAACCAAAATTATGAACTAGTAAGCATATATTTGAATCTCTATTGATGTGAATACTTTTGAATGATACCCTTTCAATATTGTACAAGTTGGTATTGTTGCAGGATGATGACAATGGTTCTGCTGCTATGGATTCTAATAAATCTGAGAGCTCTTCAAACAAGCTTGATTCTGAGGATGGCAGCAAAGAGAATGAGGGAGTAACTGGGGGTTTTAGTTCTCCTGTGAATTCTAATATAGCTGAAAATTCTGATACCATGGATGGAACGCAGACTTCTCTAGTTGAGGACGAGAGGACAGTCGCCAAATCAGAGGCAAGACCAGCAAATGCAGAAAATGGCAGCTTCTTCCATGAGAAGGGAGTAAAAGAAGAGGAGAACTTTCATGACAAGGTCGAGTTGATCAGGATAAAATTCCTTCGCCTTGTTCACAGATTAGGCCATTCTCCTAAAGAAAATGCGGTTACTTCAGTCCTATATCATCTTGCATGTACTGAGGATACGAAGAATTGGATGTTTAAGTATGAAATAGCAAAAGAAAAGGCAATCAAGTTTGAAAGAGAAGAGAAAGATAAACTGGACTTCTCGTGTAATATTCTAGTTATTG